TGGAAGGATTTGTATCGGGCTCATCTTGAGATGTCAATCTTCAGAAACATGTCCACAAGGTTTGCTTGGTTTCTTTTTTCCATCAGATTTGCTTCTAAGCAGATACTGTACCATAAATATCTCTGCTAATGAAAGTGTTGAGGTCCCTATTTTGAACTTTTTAAGGAGCTTGTTATAAGGTCTACAAAAGCTTTTGCTAAACCCTCCACTGTAAATTTTTTGGGGGGATGGGGGTCTTCTTTTTCCTTTCCTGCAATTTTGCTTTCTCTTGCCTCGTTTTCAGGTATGTGTTCCTGTTCCAATTACAATAACTCCCCATTAGTCAACTATTCAGGAACCACCTTTAAAAGCTGATCAATATCATCCTTATCCAGATAGGTTAAAGTTGTTTGCCATCTTAACCACATCTTGTTGATTTTTGCAACCTCCTCATGCTTGGCAAATCCTCTGAAGTCACACAAGAACCTCTTGAATGTCTGCTTCCGGATGCCATTCATACACTCTTTGGTGACACCACTCCAAGCTTGAGTAAGGTTCTTGTTGAAGTCATAGATGTTATAATCCTTCCAGGAATGCATCAGTGTCTTCCTCAGCTATAGAAAAGCCTGGGAAAGGTCCTCCACCAGGTGGTAGGCCTTAAAAGCTGCTATAACTCCTTGACTGCATCAAAGAGTTGTTTTTGGAGGGAGATTTATTTTTTTATTTATTTTTTAATATATTTTATTGACTTTGTACAGAGAGGAAGGGAGAGAGAGAGAAAGCTAAAAACATCGATGAGAGAGAGTCATCAATCAGCTGCCTCTTGCACACCCCCTACTGGGGATATGCCCGGAACCAAGGTACATGCCCTTGACCGGAATCGAACCCGGGTCCCTTCAGTCCCCAAGCCGATGCTCTATCCATTGAGCCAAACCGGTCTCGGCTGGAGGGAGATTTATATACCCTTAATTCTATAAGCTTTTCCCTATTTAAATTTTTTTAATTTTATTTTTTTATTTTGTGTGCAAGAGGCAGTAGATTAATAATTCTCTCTCATCACTCCCTTCCTCTCTGAAATCAATCAAAATATACATGTATATATAAAAGATTATATGATCACTCACTCAATTTCATTTCTAGAGCAACCACTCAATGTGGCTGCTTAGTGACATTAGCAATGGATATTTGTACACTAGAGGCCAAGATGAGCAAAACACAAGATTAAATCAAGCACTAAAGAAAATGACGCAATCAAGAGATGCAGCCCTAGCCGGTTTGGCTCAGTGGATAGAGCATCAGCCTGCAGACTGAAGGGCCCAGGTTCAATTCTGGTCAAAGGTACATGCCCAGGTTGGAGGTCCCAGGTAGAGGGCATGCAGGAGGGAGCCAATCAATGATTCTCTCTCATCATTGATGTTTCTTCCTCTCTGAAATCAATAAAAATGTATTAAAAAGCAAAGAGGTACAGTAAACATGAGATATCTAATCTGTTCCCAGCATAAAAAGGCATACTGTGCTATGGCAAACTTTTTTTATGTAAATACAGTAGTCTCTAAAATAATAAAGTGTCCTGGCCGGTATGGCTCAGTGGATATAACATCAGCCTGCAGACTGAAGGGTCCAGGGTTTGATTCTGGTCAATGGCACATGCCTGGGTTGCAGGCTTGATCCCCAGTGGGGATGGGGGGTGGGGGAGGTGTGCAGAAGGCAACCGATCAATGATTCTTTATCATCAATTATGTTTCTATCTCTTTCTCCCTCTCCCTTCCTTTATGAAATAAAAATGTTTAAAAAATAATAAAAAGTATAATACAGTAAATTCATAAACCAATAGCACAGTTGTTTATTATCAAGCATTATGTACCGTATACTATCAATAGTATTATTGTGTGCTATCTTACCTTATAAAAGAGTAACATGAAAATTAACAATCACTCTGCTCAAGCCACGCCCACCAGTCGATCAGAGCAAGGATGTAAATTAACCCCAGCCAACATGGCTGTAGCCATAGAGAGCAATTGAGAGAGGCTGGGGTTTCCCCAGCAAGGGAAGCCAAGCTTTCCATACTCCCTGGACAGCCTAGGCCTCCACTCAAGGCTACAAAGTTTCAATTATAGAAGATACATGAATCCCAACAGAAAGGGCTAAGGGCCACAGAGCGAGCAGGGGCTTGGCTCTGCTCCAGGATACAAAGTTTCAATTGTAGAAGGTAAATAAATTCCAGATACCAGGACCTCTGCTTGGGTCGCCATGGGGCATGGCCAGCCTGCAAACTACCACAGGCCCCTCACCCAGGCCACCCCACATCCCAATGGAACCCCCACCCTGATCCAGGACACCCTTCAGGGCAAACCAGCTGGCCCTCACCCATGCACCAGGCCTCTATCCTATCTAATAAAAGAGTAATATGCAGATTGAACATCACTCCAACACACAAGCTGGCTATCACCTGGTCAAAGATCCTGCCCCCATGTGGACACAAGATGGCCAGCAGGGGAGGGCAGTTGGGAGGCACCAGGCCTGCAACGGAGGGCAGTTGAGAGGGACCAGGTCTGCAAGGGAGGGCAGTTGGAGGCGATCAATCCTGCAGGGGAGGGCAGTTAGGGGTGGCCAGGCAAGCAGAGGAGGGAAGTTGGGCGCAAACAGGCTGGCAGGGGAGCAGTTAGACATCAATTAGGCTGGCATGGGAGTGGTTAGGGGTGATCAGGCTGACAGGCAGAAGTGGTTAGGGACAATCAGGAAGGCAGGCAGACAGGCGAGAAGTTGGGAGCCAGCAGTCCTGGATTGTGAGAGGGATGTCCGACTGCCCGTTTATACCCGATCCTGGTAGTGTCCCAGATTGGAGAGGGTGAAGGCTGGGCCGAGGGACACCTCCCTACCCCGTGCATGAATTTCGTGCACTGGGCCTTTAGTATTATTACAGTGTCTTCCTCATACTAGCATCACCACAAACACAAGTAATGCATTTTTATCCGACATGATTACACAGCTATCACATCACTAGGTGACAAGAATTTTTTAGCTCCATTGTAATTTATGGGACTTCCATCCTATATTCAATTTATTAACTAAAACATCATTATTTACTGTGCTTTGAAGGAGTCCTATAATAATCCTTACATAGGATAACTTATACAGGAGATCTGATGGCTGACCTGTATGTTAAATGCAAATTCCAGAATTTGAATTACTTAACCCCAAAGGGATTTAACAAAATATATGCAAGTAATGAGTGTATGTATATGTATAATACAATGGCGATTTGAAACATTAAAGCTGTTGTATAGTGTATATAAGCAAGTTGACAGCACAGTACCTGCTGTACCACCCTAAGTTCAATCATACAATCAAACAACTTCATAATCAGAAGAGCAGACAAACACATGTTGCAAAGTTGTCTAGCAAATCATTCTTACAATGACATATTTATAAAATGGAAGACCAGTTTCAAAACCCTTTTAAAGCTAGGCCAGCGTGACTCAGCGGTTGATCATGGACCTAAGAACCAGGAGGTCACAGGCAGCCGATCCATGATTCTCTCTCATCATGGATGTCTCTCTCTCCCTTCCTCTCCAAAATAAAAACATTAAAAAAAAAAAAAAAAAACCTTTCAAAAGTAATTGTGTTGTTTGGATATTTCTGTTCTTTCATTCTTATCTTCTATATGAAAAGAGTTCTTTAATTATGACTTCTTAGGCATCTCCATTCCTCCCAAGTGCAGATAATAAAGTTTATAAATGCCATATCTTAGAAAAAGATGGTAAACTATTAGTATTAGTGCAAAATTGTAATTACTACTATTGATACTTCTATAATACATTGATCTACTGATCATGGTTTATTTGTAGTGTATTACTGCCTTTTGGGGAGGGGCAACTAAATCAAAATATTAGCTAAAGGTTTAGAATTTTTCATACCTGAAATGGAGAAGAGCTCTGACCAGGGAATAAGTATTTCAAAATACCGTCAAAGAACAATGAAGCCCTTGCCAGTGTGGTTCAGTGATTAGAGCGCTGGCCCATGCACCAAAGGGTCTCAGGTTTGGTTCGATCCGAGCACATAGACCCATGTTGTGAGTTCAATCCCCAGTCGGGGCATGTGCAGTGAGGCAATCAATCACATCAATGTTTCTCCCTCCCTCCCTCCTCTTGAATCAACAAAAAAAAAATTCCAACAGTGAGGATTTAAGAAAAAGAACAACAAAAAGAGGCAGCTTCCCTAACCAACTCTAGGAATTTCAAGTACAATAACCACAGAGAGACAAACTCCATTTGATGAACTACATCAATATTAAAGCAACCTATAGAAACAGACTCATAGAGAACATACTGACGATTGCCAAAGGAAAGGGAGATTGGGGGAGGGCGCGCTGGATAAAAAAAAGGTGAAGGGATTAAGAAGTAAAAATTGACAGTTACAGGATAGTCCTGGGGATGTAAATTAAAGCATCAGGCATACAGTCAATAATATTGTAATAGCCGAGACCGGTTTGGCTCAATGGATAGAGCGTCGGCTTGGGGACTGAGGGACCCGGGTTCGATTCCGGTCAAGGGCATGTACCTTGGCTGTGGGCATATCCCCAGTAGGGGGTGTGCAAGAGGCAGCTGATTGATGACTCTCTCTCATCGATGTTTCTAGCTCTCTCTCTCTCTCCCTTCCTCTCTGTACAAAATCAATAAAATATATTTTTTTAAAAAATAATAATAATATTGTAATAACAATGTATGGTGTACTTGAAATATTTGGGGACCACCTTGTAAAGTTTATGATTATCTAACCACTATGCTGTACACCTTAAACTAATACAGAATACTGAATGTAAATAGTAATAGGAATAAAAATCCAAAGTAAAAAATATATATATTAAAGTTATCTGAAGTCCTAGGGAATGTATATGCTACCTTATACACTTTTATTTTCCTCAAGCTGCTCATTTATTATAAATAAAAAGGAGCACTTAAGTGATTTCAAATTTCTGATCAAATCAAAACTTAAAGCATAATATCTAATAGTCTACTTACCATGAAAATCTGCACCCAACTTCTTAGAAGCCATTTAGAACCTGAAAAACAAAGAAATATTTCTTAGACTCATGATGTCTTGAGAAAATATAAACAAATAGTTACAAGAAAATTGGCTGGGTAGCTTAGTTGGTTAGAGCATCATCCTGATATGCCAAGTTTGCAGGTTCAATCCCCGGTCAGGACACATACAAGAATCAACCACTGAATGCACAAATAGATGGAACAACAAACTGATGTTTCTCTCTCTCTAAAATCAACAAAAATAAAAAACTTTAAAATTTTTTTTAAAGGAAATTGAAGCTATAAACAAGAAATCAGAAGACTAAAAGGTAACAGGACTGACATAGTCCTCAAAATTCTCAGTTCCAAAGTCTTGAAAAAAGAAAGCACAGCCTGGCCGATTTGGGTCAGTGGTTGAGCATCCACCTGTGGCATGGTTAGAGTCCAGGTCAGGGCACATATCCAGGTTGCAGGCTCAATCCCCAATAAAGGAACCTCAGGAGATATCCAATCAATGATTTTCTCTCATCATTGATTTTTCTATATCTCTCTCCCTCTCCTTTCCTCTCTGAAATCAATAAAAACATATTATAAAAAAAAAAAAAGGACAAATTTCATAGGTGGGAATGAATGACATACAACCTTTGTCCTATTTTAATTCTGTATACATTTTTTTAAATGGGGGGGGGACATAAAACCACACATCTAGTTTAATATTATCTTTGCACTTCCAACCCCTAGATAAGTAAAAAAAAAAAAAGTGCAAAGTCTTTTCTTACACAAATACTCTCAGTTCTTCATCCTAAAGTTTATCTCCCTTGATATGGCATAGTTTTTATACCTTTACTTTACCTAAGACATAAGCAGGGGGGAAAAATAAGGCTAAGTATATAGATTTATGGTACGGTATCTATTAGTCTGCACTATAGTATATTGCAAGGCATCGTAGTGAAAACATTTTATTTCCAACTGTAAGCTTTTTTAGGATCTTTTTTCTTTTTTTTAAAATTCTCACCCAAGGATATGTTTTTACTGATTTAGAGAGAAAGAAAACACACTGATTGGTTGCCTGACTGGGGAACAAACCTGCAACCTACGTATGTACCCTGAAAGGAAATTGAACTCACAACCGTTTGGTGACACGCCAACCAAACTGAGCCACCCAGCCAGAGTTGGGACTTTTTTTAAAGAAACAAACAAGTTAATTTTAAAATTTACATGGAAAGACAAAGGAAATATAATAGCCAAAACAATTTTGAAAAAGAAGTTGAAGAATTTACTATCAACTTAACTATGAGGCTACACTAATTAAAAACTGTGGAAATGGTGTAAGGATATCACATAGACCAACAGAACAGAGTCCAGAAATAGACTCATTCATATATAGCCAAATGATTTGTTTGTTAATCCTTACCAAAGGATATTTTTTCCACTGAGTTTGAGAGAGAGTGGAAGGAGGGAAGTAGGAGTGGTGGGGAAGAGAGACTCACACGGATTAGTAACCTCCCACAGGAGCCCCAACTGGGGCTGGGGATCAAACCTGAAACCCAGGTACATGCCCTTGACAGGAAATCAAATCTGCAGCCCGAGACTCTGCAGCGCTCAGGCTGACAGGGCCAGCCAAATGACTTTAAACAAAGGTACAAAGGAATTTCAAAGGGGAAAGGTCGGTCTTCTCAAAAAATGGTGCCAAACATTCCTATGCAAAAATAAAAACAAAAAAAACACCTGCCCTTAATCCATACCTTGCACTATATGTAAAAACTGACTGAGAAGGATGGAAAAATCATAGCTAAGGGCTACAGGGTTCTTTCTGGGGTGATGAAAACGTTCTGAAAGTGATTGTGGTGAGCCAGGCTGGTGTAGCGCTATGGACTAAGCATCATCCTATGGACCAAGAGGTTCTGGGTTCAATACCAGGTTGCGGACTCAATCCCCAGTAGGGGGCATGCAGGAAGCACCCAATCAATCAATGTGTCTCTCTCAACATTGATGTTTCCATCTCTCCCTCTCCCTTCCGCTCTGAAATCAAAATATTTTTTTTTAAATAAAAGTGATTGTGGTGAAGACTGCACAACTTAATATTCTAAAAGCCACTAAACTATACATTTTAAATGGGTAAACTAAATGTGGTATACTGAAGCACCACAACCCCATGGATGAATCTCAAATGTATCATGGTAAGTCAAAGAAGCCAGACTCAAAAGGTTACGTACGGTACTATGTCATTTCATTTATGATATTCTGGAATGGGGGACAGAAAAGGAATCTAGCTACCAGGGACTGATAATAGATGGAATTGACTATAAAAGGGAACACAATAATTTTTTTAGGTTGACAGAACTGTTCTATATTTTATTGTATACTGTTTACATGACTATATGTATCTATCACAATTCACAGAAAACAGGATAAAATTTACTACATGTAAACTGTATGTACTCCAACGTTTAAAATACATATATGTCCATCACACTGAAATTAGATAAAATAGAATCACTGAGTAAATACTAGTAATATTTTTAACCCATCCTAGTGGAAGAAAATTTTATTTTTTAAAATGCCAGAATTCAAAATAACAAGTTATACAGTTGTATCAAATTCTATTAGTATGCTTTCTCACTGATGGACAAGGATTTTCTACAATGATATATATGGTTTCTAACAATGGATTTCTTCCCTATTTAAAAGCAAAACAAAAATGTAAGTCGAAAAAAAAATTGATTTTAGAGAGAGGGAGGGAGGGAAAAAGAAACATTGGTCAGTTGCCTCCCACCTACGCCCCGACCAGGGTTTTGAACCTGCAATCTAGATATGTGCCCTCACCAGGAATCAAACCCACAACCTTTTTGATGTACAGGAAAACACTCCAACCAACTGAGCCACACTGACCAGAGCTGAACACTGTTGAATTGTATTTTTTTTTTTAATTTATATTTGCTGAAACCGGTTTGGCTCAGTGGATAGAACATCGGCCTGCAGACTGAAGGGTCCTGGGTTCGATTCTGGTCAAGGGCATGTGCCTTGGTTGCGGGCACATCCCCAGTAGGGGGTGTGCAAGAGGCAGCTGATCAATGATTCTTTCTCATCGATGTTTCTAACTCTCTATCCCTCTCTCTTCCTCTCTGTAAAAAATCAATAAAATATATATTTTTAAATATATATATACACACACACACACACACACATATATATATATATATATATACACACACACACACACATATATTGATTGATTGATTTCAGAGAGAAAGGGAGAGGGAGAAAGAAACACCAATGATGAGAGAGAATCACTGATCGGCTGTCTCCTGCACACCCAACACTGGGTATCGAGCCTACAACCTGGGCATGTGCCCTAAACCGGAACTGAACCATGACCTCCTGGTTCACAGGTCGATGCTCAACCATTGGGCCACACCAGCTGGGCAAACTGTATTCTTAAATGGGTGAATTGTATGACATATGGATTATATCAATAAAGCTTTTACCAGGAGAAAGTAGCTCTAAATTTGAGAGCTGTGCAACTAAAAAATGACTATTTAGGAATAGAGAAAGGAAACAAATGAATAACATCTTTTCACTTTCACAATGGCTATTATGAATGAAATAACTAATAGTTTTTGTTTTTGTTTGTTTGTTTTTAAATATATATATATTTTATTGATTTTTTACAGAGAGGAGGAGAGAGGGATAGAGAGCTAGAAATGTCGATGAGAGAGAAACATTGATCAGCTGCCTCTTGCACACCCCCTACTGGGGATGTGCCCGCAACCAATGTACATGCCCTTGACCGGAATCAAACCTGGGACCTTTCAGTCCGCAGACCGATGCTCTACCACTGAGCCAAACCGGTTTCGGCAATAACTAATAGTTTTACTTATTGGTAAAATAATTTTATTCATTGCCGAAACCGGTTTGGCTCAGTGGATAGAGCATTAGCCTGCAGACTCAAGGGTCCCAGGTTCGATTCCTGTCAAGGGCATGTACCTTGGCTGTGGCCACATCCCTGGTAGGGGGTGTGCTGGAGGCAGCTGATCAATGTTTCTCTCTCATCAACGTTTCTGGCTCTCTGTCCCTCTCCCTTCCTCTCTGTAAAAAATCAATAAAATATATATTTTTAAATAACAATAATTTTATTCATTAATTTTATAATCTGTAGAATAATAAATTCTCTTCAGTCTCATGAAACCCAAAAATTAACAAATAATTAGTATTCAAAGTATATAAAGAATTCTTAAAAATCAATCAAATAAAGAAACAACTCAATAAAAATAGACAAAAAACTTCATAGGAGCACAAATGTCCAATAAACATATGAAAAGATGCTCAACTTCAGAAAATGCTAATAAAAACGTAATAGATACCATTTCAAACCCACTACATTAGAAAAAAATTTTCAAGTCTGACAATATCAAATGTTAGGGAAGAAATGAAGCACCCAAATCACACACTGCTGGCTCTTGACTCTATAAGCACAATATTCACATTTACCATGAGCCAATTCAATGACTCAAGAACTGGAAGTGTTTGGTAAGTATTAAGCAACTGATAATGACCAATCCAGAATTCTGAGAACATGTTCGGAATACTGCCAAATACAAATTTTGGCCCTTAATGAACTGGATCCAACTGACTCAGCAATACAAATAAGAAAACTTTTAGTCCCTTATCCAGTTTCTCTAGCATATTTTGTTAAGTACAAAATAGTCATTTACTCCTAGAATACTGATGACATCTTAATTGACTCAAATTTTAATGAAGTATTTATCATTACAGTAATACTTCTATTTCAATGAGAAGCAGTTTTAAATGACATAACTTTAAAATTAAAAAGTGCTTACACTTTAAATTTGACAGGAATTAGAATGGCTGTGACCACTTTAGAGGGACAAAATGGTGTAACAGATGTAGAAACACTTGAGAAAATTTTAGTCACTGAATTAAACTTTGAAATCGCATTTTAAATACCTTACTCTAGTCAAAACATAAAAGATAAAGTGACATTTGCCAATCCTAGATAAAAGTGCTCTCGCAACCATTATTGAGAATTGTTTACAGACCTAATATTATTTTATCAGGATACTATGATTATCTTCTTCAAAATCAAAATGAAAAATAAAATCTCAGATATACATAAAATATGCCATAATGAGGTAATGCATCAAATACAAAAGAAAAATTCAGAAAGTTCTTTTATTCATACTTTAATTTTCTTCCTGTCTTTATTTCTAAAACTAGAGGCCCAGTGCATGATTTTGTGCATGGGTGGGCCGATTGAGAACGCTGGCCAGCCATGGGGAGGGACTGCGGGAGACTGGCCCCAGCAGCGAGCTAACCACAAGGAATCAGGCTCCCTCCTCCCTCCTATCTGGGTCCAGGAGAACCAGATTCGGGTTGTCAGGGCCCCAGCAGCAAGGTTTGGGTCAGTACACATCATAGCTACCGGCCAGTCATTTGGTCGTTCCAGTTGTTCATTCGATCATAATAGTCGCTTAGGCTTTTATATATATATAGATAACACTTTATCTTCCAATGAGGCCATAGAAAGTTATTTGCTACACAGTGATAGAGATGCTCACTAAAGAAACAAACTTTCCTATTTCCATAATTATAATGACTTATTAATGCAACAATACAGGCATTCAATAAATGTTAAATAAGTAACAGAAAGAATAACTAGGACAGAAAAAAATCAATAGGATGGATTAGAAACAAAAATTTAATTGATAAAATTCCACTTAAAGCCCTGGCCAGGTAGTTCAGTTGGCTAGAGCAGTGGTTGGCAAACTCACAAGTCAACAGAGCCAAATATCAATAGTACAACAATTGAAATTTCTTTTGAGAGTCAAATTTTTTTTAACTTAAACTTTTTCTAACGCCACTTCTTCAAAATAGACTTGCCCAGGCCATGGTATTTTGCGGAAGAGCCACACTCAAGGGGTCAAAGAACCGCAGTTTGCCAACCACGGGGTTAGAGCATCATCAAGATATGCCATGGTTGTGGCTCATCCTGGTCAGGGCACATACAAGAATCAACCACTATCCTGGCCAGTGTTGGTTGAGCACCAGGTTCAATTCCTGGTCAGGGTACATGCCCAGGTTGTGGGCTCTATTCCCTGTGGGGGGCTTGCAGGAGGTAGTCCATCCATATTTCTCTCTCTCTCTCTCTCTCTCTCTCTCTCCCCCCCCCTTCTGTTTCTCTTTCTAAAGTCAATAAAAAACATAAAATAAAATAATCAACCACTGGATGCATAAATAAGTGGAACAAACTAAAGTTTCTCTCCCCCTTCCTCTCTCTAAAATCCTATATAATAAAAGCCTAATATGCAAATTGTTCCCTCAGGTGGTCATTCAACCAGAAGTTTGACCACTCACTCACTATGACATGCACTGACCACCAGGGGGCAGCGAGGAACATGGTGGGAGTCAGTGACATGGTGCTGCTGGACCCAAAGGGCCCCAAAGAGAGCAGGACCATGGCGGGATGGTGGAGCAGGTGAACGGGCAGCACCAGGCCAAGGTGGGTGAGAGCGGGGGCCTGAGTGCCCCACTGATCACCCCACAGATAGCGGCCAGCAGCAGTGGCAGGGGGCCTGGCCCTGATCGATTGCCCCACATGTGGGACAGTGGAGCAGGTAAGGGGGCAGCGCTAAACCAAAGTGGGGTGCCAGGTGGGGCTATGGGGCTGCCGGGCTGGGGGCACAAGCTGCGGCCCGATCTCTTCAGGCCACCCAAAGGAACTCCACCCATGCATGAATTTGTACACTGGGTCTCTAGTGCCAGTGTTTCCCAGTGTGGTACGCAAACCCCCAGGGGTAGGGGAAGAGTTTGGTGGGGATATGCACTGCACCATGCTTAGCTGCGCCTAATTCTATGTTCTCATGAGTATGAGGGGTACTGAGCGTTACGAAAATTATAGAAGGGGTACACATATGTCAAAAGTTTGGGAAACACTGCTAGTCAATAAATAAAAATTTTTAATTCCACTTAAAAGTAAATAATGACCAATTTCAGAGGGAAGGGGGACAGAAAGTGATTAACAAAAGAACGTATATGCACATGTGCATAATCCATGGACAGATAATAGTGCAGTGAAGGAGGGGGGAGGACAGGAGTGGGGTAGTGGGAGTCAATGAGAGTTAAAAAGGGGACATCTGTGCCGAAACCGGTTTGGCTCAGTGGTAGAGCGTCGGTCTGCGGACTGAAGGGTCCTGGATTCGATTCCCGTCAGGGGCATGTACGTTGGTTGCGGGGACATCCCCGGTAGGGGATGTGTAAGAGGCAGCTGGTTGATGTTTCTCTCTCGTCAACATTTCTAGCTATCTCTCTCCCTTCCTCTCTGTAAAAAATCAATAAAATATATTTTTAGAAAGGGGACATCTGTAATACTTTCAACAATAAAGATAAATAAATTTTAAAAAGTTAATGCAGACAATGTAATTCTTTATAGACTTTGGACACTTTTAGTCCAAAACATTTGCTATAAAAATTCAGAAAGTTTCAGTTTAACTTGTTTGACTAGAAAGAGCTAGCTATCACTGGAGACTAAGTGCCCTGCTTTCCCCACCACCAAATCTAATAAAACTTTAAAGAGAAAAACATCCATCATATGATCTAACCTAATTCTCAAATACTAATACACAACTGAGGAGTGGACTAGTAAGTGGAGTTAGAACAGAATTATTTAGCCGAAACCGGTTTGGCTCAGAGGATAGTGTCAGCCTGCGGACTGAAAGGACCCAGGTTCGATTCTGGTTAAGGGCATGTACCTTGGTTGCAGGCACATCCCCAGTAGGGGGTGTGCAGGAGGCAGCTCACTGATGATTCTCTTCCATTGATGTTCCTAACTCTACCCCTCTCTCTGTAAAAAAATCAATAAAATATATTTTTAAAAGAACAGAATTATTTAATAGTTCACTAAATTACCAAATCTGGTCGCCAACAATGGTGCCTTAAAAACTCTCAAAATTTTCGGCTTACTATAAAACCCATCTTTTATGTCCAGTCGTACTTCCAGAGGCTACTCTGGAATCCAGTACATGTGGCCAGAACACAAAGGCCAGAGAGCACTGATACAGATCAAATAAACCAACTATAACTGGATGTTCCGCAAGAAAGAACCTGCGGTTGTTTCGGAGGCCCAGGTGGACGGTGCAGGTAAGTCTCCACCCAGAGCAAAGTAAACACACCTGGGGAAGGCCTGCCATGTCAAAGCTATATCTCCCAAAGACCACTCCCCCGCGTCTGGTCTAACTCCCTCTCTCCCAAACCTCAGGAAGAACTCAATCTGCCCCTCGCGTCCCCAACTCACCCTCAACTCCACATCACTTACCTTCTTCCCTGAACCCGGACCCACCTCCTCGGCATCCTCGAGCTCCCACCGAGCTCCCACTCCACCAGCAAGACAGACAGATGTCTACACAGCCTGTCCCTTTAATCCGAATTCACTTTCCCACAACCCACCCGCCCTCCGCCCCTTCAACTCTGGTCCCCTCACCCGGACCCCTCTCCCCGAATCCTCCCCCAGTCACGGATCTCCGGCCTCTTCTCACTCCTACTCCCTCAGCGGCGCTTCCTTTCACCCAGCTGGGCCTCTCGCCTCTTCCCGGGTCCCCTCCCTCACCCGAATCCCGGTACCGGCGCCCTACCCCCCATCCCACCCCTCTCGTCCCCTCCCCGCCCGGCCCCAGAAGGAGGCGCCTCCCCCCTCACCTGAGCACCGCCGCCGCCGCCGTCCCAGAAGCCGAAAGGTGCTGGCGCCGCCGACCCCCCACGTCCGGTCCCCGCTGACGGCTCCTAGGGAGAGCGAACACCACCGCCTTCAACTCTGTTCGCCCCGGGCCGGGCAGTCGCCGTAGCCGAAGCCAGTACCACAGCCGCCATGTTGAAGTCCTACTTCCCTCCTCCTTCCCCTCGCCGCCCCGCCCCCTTAGGCGTCTGACGTCATGACGCCCCGCTCCACGCCCTTCGGGCCAATGGGAGGAGCCGACGTGATGTGACTAATCTCCCGTTTAGTTAGTGCTAAACAACTCCTCCTACCCGGGTTTTGCAATTGGAATGGGTGAATCCTGCTGACCCTAAGGGAGGGCGGAAGGAGAGGGTCACCGAAGGGGTAAGGCGTAGTAGAAGCGGATTTAGGGAGACTGGTCGAAAAGCTGAGACCAGAGTTAAAGGGGCAGAGAGCAGATGAGATACGACCTCTGACCTCTTCTCGCTCCTATACCTTCAGCTGCATCTCCTTTCATCCAGCTAGGCCTCCAGATGAGATGCGACCTCTGACCTCTTCTCCCTCCTATACCCTCAGCTGCATCTCTTTTCATCCAACTAGGCCTCCAGATGAGATGTGACCTCTGACCTCTTCTCCCTCCTATACCCTCAGCTGCATCTCCTTTCATCCAGCTGGGCCGCCCTCTTCTCCAGGTTCCCTCCAAGTAAGGGGATTAAACCACTACTGGAAGATAGGCATCTCTCTAGTGGGAACCAAGAGCCTTGAAACACAAAGGGAAACAGAAATATTTACCAATGAGACCTACTTGGGAATCAGGATGTCTCGCTTCTGGTCCCAGGCCCCTGACCTGGTACAAGACTTAATCCTTTCTGATAATGGCTTCACTTTCCTCATTTATAGGTAAATGGGTTGAAAGGCAACCTCTAAATCCTCCCATTCTGGCATTCAACCAGTTTAATCCAATCCCAAACCTTTACTGCCTTGTGCAGTTTATTGGATGTCTTCTGGAATCAGGTGCATGGCGGATTCATAAATGAATAAGGTGAATCTTTGTTCCCAAAAGTTCCTAAATGGTGGGAGAAATAGAAGCCTCTCCTCTCAAAGCAGGAAAAGTCAGAGGGTAATAATAATAGCACATCAATGGATCTGGAAAACTTGACTAAAAGATTAGGAAATATTTACATCGACACTTTCTGGGTACGTAAAGACTGTGCACACTCTCACGTTTAATTCGCCAGCCCTGTTTTCTCTTCAGAACTTCAAAGGAGAAACGTGCAGCAATTTTTAACTCACAATGACAGAGTTCCAGAAGGAGGGTGTTAGAATAAGCAAACAATAACAAATCATGAATTCTATATTATTTGCCTACTTAATTCAACAGATAATAGAAAGCCATAGAAGATTTGTGGAGAGAGCAGTGAACTGATCAAAGCTCTTCATCAGGAGAATTAAAATGGCAGTAGTGAATAAAATGGAGAAGACATGGTAATTTTCTGCATTGAATAAGAGACTCATACCTGAACTAAAGTAGAAACAGTGGGGATGGAGACAAGGGGATGATTGGAGCAAGATTTACGAGATTTTCTCAACAAGAGACCAGCTGTATGGGAGAAATCGTGAAAAGGGGCCACATTTTGGGGGTCTCATACTAAACGAAACAAGAAAAACCTAAGGTTTACTGAAGCCCTATGGGAAATAATAAGGAATTCATCTGGCCAAATTCATTCAGGAGGGAATTGAGTTTCTTTTTTTATTTATTTTTTTGGGGGAATGTGAGTTTACATGTGTACTGTATTGATACTCTGAAGATATGTTTTTATTTTTGTAGAAGAAGGGAGAAAGAAAGAGATAAAAACATCAATGTGAGTGAAATTGGCTGCCTCCCGAATGTAACCTGACTGTGGATCAACAAATTCACAACCTAAGTATATGCCCTGACCCACAACATTTTGGTGTACAGGATGATGCTCCAACTAACTGAGCCACCCGGCCAGGGCCAAATAAACTTTTTATTCATTCATTTAACAAGTATTATTGAGTTCCTGCAATATACCAGGCATCGTTCTACACACTGGGTATACAGCAGTACATAAAAAAAGACCCTGCAAAAAAAAAAAGGGGGTGGGGGTGGGGAGAATAAAGCACAAGAAAGAAAGTATCCATAGCTGAAATTTCTTATTTTTTGTGCGTTAATCCTCACCTGAGGATATTTTTCCATTGATTTTTAAAGAGCGTGGAAGGGAGAAAGACAGAGAAAAACATCTATGTGAAAGAGACACATCGATTAGTTGTCTTCGCACACACACTAGCCTGCAACTGAGGTACATGCTCTTGACCAGAGTCAAACCCAGGACCCTTCAGTCCCCAGGCCGACACTCTTTCCACTGAGCCAAACCAGCTAGGGCCATGGTTGAAATTTATAAAGGATGGCCAGGGAAAGGTGACACTGAGTGAAGACCTGAAGGAAGTGAAGAGCCCTGGCCAAAAAGAAAACCCCTGAAGGCAGTGAGGAAATGAGTCATGTAAATATCTCATGTAAATATCTAAAAGAAGAAAATGCCCGGCCAAGGCAAGGGAACGGTAAGTATTAAGGCCCTGAGGTAGGAGCTCACCTTCTGCGTTCTAGAAAAACTAAGCATTCCAGTGTGACTGGAATGGAGTGAGCCAAAAAAGGAATAGTAGGCGATGAAGTGACAAAGAGGTAACAGTTGGCTACATCACAGAGTGTCTTGTAGATAGTTTTTAAGGACTTTGGCTTTCTCTCTTAAGTGAGCTGAAAACCATAGGAGAGTTTTGAGCAGAAAATGGAAATGACCTAACTTTTTAGTAAAATCATTGTAGCAGCTACACTGAGCAAGAAGGGCAAGTGTGGACCCACATTATGGTTATTGCAGTAATCTGGGAAGGAAGTGATAGCACTGTGGAGCAGAGTGATAGCAGCAGTGAAAGTGTTTAGAAATGGTCAGGTTGTGGGTATATTTTGAAGGTAGAGCCATAAGAATTTGCTCACATTAGCCCTGGCTGGGTGTTCCAGTTAAAGGACCATCCACACACCAAAAGCTTTTGGATTCAATTCCTGGTCAGGACACGAGTTTAAGTTTTGGGTTTGATCCCCAGGCAAGGCTTGTACAGGAGGCAGCTGATAGTTGTTTCTCTCTCACATTGATGTTTCTCTCTCTCCCCCTTCAACTCTCTCTAAAAAATCAATAAACATATCCTCAGAGGAGGATGAAAAAGAAAAAAGAATTTGCTCACAGATTAGTTGCATGGTGTGAGGGAATGAGAGGACTCAGGATGACTTAAAAGTTTTTGACCTGAGTCAAATTCTTGAAGGTTTGGCTAGAAGAATGGAAATTCAAATGAATGATAACTTCTGAGGATAGGACCCTTTGGAGCATTGACAAGTAGGGCATGGGAAGAGGAAGCAGAGAAAAAGGTGGAAAAGTAGTGGCCAGAGAAGCAGAAAAGGAATCAGGAGACTAAGGTGCCAAGGAGGATTAGGAAGGGAAAAACCTTTGGAGGGTTGGGCCTCTGCCTCTCCTAGTCTAGAGACAAGCTTCCCCCATCAGACAGGGGCTTCCTGAGATTCCCCATCAGCCTAAGTATGATGATCTAATAACATTTCTTTCTCTGCCTTTTTGCTTTAAGTGGGACCAGGTTGCTGACTACTCACTCCTAGGCCAGCCTGCTATGTGCCACCCAGCCCCTATGGAGGCAACCCATCCTTAAGAAATCAGGGCATGGGGAGAGAGACAAAGAAATAGGAAGTAAGTGGGGACATTTCCTGGAAAATCAAATATTTTTTCTCCTACTTAGGAGTGACTCATATGTATCAGTTTCCAGGTATTAATCCCAGTAGTAACTCAGCCTGTGACCAGAAAAGGCTGACCAGGAAGCCAGTCCTTTACTAACCCTGCTCTGTGTCTGTTTCCTCCCAGTGCGACTAGAAATTGGTTTACAAATAGCATTTCAGTCCAAGGAACACTAGCTCACAACTTCCCCCCTCTTTTTTCCTACTCTTTCTCCCTCTCTTCATACACCTCTAAACTTCTGGGGAGTCTAAGAGCAGAGGCAGGAAAAATATAATCAGCTCTACAATTTTTTATTCATTTAACCATCCTGCATTGGCTAAATCGTACCAAGTGTCAGGCACCATGAGTCTACAAAGATGCTCTGAGGGAGGTCAAGTGAGGGAATCACATAGTTAGTTGTACAGATAATGACAGTACCTGGCAAATAATCATCTGAGTAACACATTCCATGGCTGAAGAGTAGAGAGGAAAGCGCATTTAGGTGGACTTGAGAAATCATGGAAGACTTCATGGAGAACTGAGGCATTTGTTAGACCTTACAGAACAGAACAAATGACGCCCAAAGCAATTAAAACAAAGCAGTTTGAGCAAAGGCATGGATGGAGGAAAGTTCCAGGAAAATAAGAATCCATAAGTAGAGCAAAGGGAGCAGAGGGAGATAAGGTTGGAGAGACCCGGAGGGAAGAGGCTTGGCTTGGGTTTAACAGTTCTAAGGCTGTAGAAGTAAAGTCGCTGGCATCGTCTGTGAAATCCAAAAGAAAAGTCAGGATGAGTCCTGAGAACCTTGGAGGTCAGGTTGAAACCCTTTATCCTTTTTCATAAGCCCAAGTTACAATTAAGGACTCAGGTTTCTGGGTCACCTCTGAAGTTCCTGAAGATCTTCGAGATGACCATCAAATGAAGATGCACTTATCCTAATGATCATGAATGGGTAAAGATGATTTCAGGTTCCAAAAGCATGAAAATATAAACACAACAACAACGCTAAAATATTAGAATAGGATATTTTGAATCATGGGTGAGAATAATGTTTCTAATCATGACACCAAATTCAGAAGCCCTAAAGGAAATAGTTGACAGAGTTGATGATGGCAAAAGACCCCATACACAAAGTGAAAAGATAAACTGGAAGAAAATATTTGTGATCTTATAACAGGAAAAGGACTAATTTCCCCAATACAAAAAGAGCCCCTGCAGATCAATAAGAAAAACAGAATGATTCAATAAAAAAAATATAGATGTTACTTATTCAAAAGGCAATTCACCAAAGAAGAAACAAATATCTAATGAACAAAATAACTGGTTAAAAAAAAAAAAAATGTTTCAGCCAAGACTGGTTTGGCTCAGTGGATAGAGCATCAACCTATGAACTAAAAGGTCCCAGGTTCGATT